TGTTGCAGACTGGGACAATCAGAATCAGATGTGATCTCCAGAACAGATGCCCAACCAGGGCTGGCAGTTAATTAAAAGCACCATGTACTTAAATGATTAACTAATCACAGCGTGGTGGCGTTCAGCAGAGAACCTTCTCTGCTGGATTCGGCAGAGAAACTCCTAATGTCTGCCTTCGGGGCAGCGTTCCTACTGCAGCTTGCTTCTGTGTCGCCAGCAGAGACAACACAAGCAGTTAGTCTCACAAATTTCATTAAAACCCTGCTTAGTTAGAGCTTTAAAAATGGGCCGAGACAACTGTATCAATAGGTCTCCATCGCAGATGCATCAAGATCACCTTTGTTCTGATTAGGTTGCTTCCAGATGACCCATTTTATCTATCATTCATCCTGACGTCTTTGTGAAGAGATGGCATGACATTAAGTGTTCACAGAGCACCCATTCCAATTTATTTGCAGGGAGATTGCATGCATCAAGCAAGTCTGATCCCACACTTTCCAGTTTCATTTTCTGGTCACTTTCCTTTAGTGAAAAAAAGGTGATTTGGGTGAGCAGGGAAGGGAAACAGGTTACTTGCAGAAGTGTGTCAATTCAACTTGAACTGCACTGTCTGAATTTGCTGGGATGTGGTTTGCATATCACATCCGCACAATGCACTGAAAGCAGACTGATATCCCCAAAGAATCCTAGGAGCTGCCGTTCATTAGGGGGGCTGGGAATAGTAGCCCTGGGAGTGGTAAACTACAGCTGCCCGGATTTTAGTGGTGAAGGGAAAACATTACATTTAAAGTGGTCTAAATGTGCTTTGGATGTATGGTGTGAATTTAACCTACATCTCTTCTGCCACAGCCAGGGATGATGGGCTTTCCCAGTTTTCTGGCCAACTGGTATTTGACCCAGTTCATCTGCTGCCATTTGACAATGTCCCTTCAAAGGACTGAGTATTTCTGGAGTGGGTGGGGGCTTGGAATAAGCAAGAAAGGCTTTGCTCTTTCTCTTTTTCGGGAGGTGGTGGTTTATTTATCTTTTCTTCTCATTTCTTCCTTTCTTTCTGAACTCACTTCATCACACATAACAGCTGACTCGTGCAATGAAAGAAACACTAATAGAAAATCAATGTTTGCCCGACAGAGAAGTTGAAAACCTCTAAATCAGCCATGAAAGAATGTTATACTTTCAACTCTTCAGACAAAGGGGACCAAAATATACTGTGGAAAGTGCTGGAGCGCTGGCACTTAAGCTCTGAAGGCTGGCAGTGGCGATGGGAAGATGGAAAGCAAACTTGTGGCTGTAAAACAAGTAGATTTTATATCGATACCAGTTTGACTATAGAAATGCCAGTTGTGTGCAGTTTCTGCCACTTGCCAGGGAGCAGAGGAAGCCCCCCCCCTCAAAGGTTTCCAGGCATGAGGCCATCAGTGGGGCTTCTTAGGAAGGGGAACTAAGCCAAGTAACAGGGAAGACAAAGCAAAAAACCACAGGTTGCCATTGTGCCCCCAGTGCTAACATGCAGGTTATAAATTATTTTTATTATTAATAAAATAAAATTGATTACCCTCCCTTCACTAGCTGCTTCCAGGGCAGATTACAATAATTTAATGGGGTGCCAGAGCCACTTGGTCAGGTCACTCACATCTCTCAGGTAAGCATATTGAGTCTTACTTTTTGCATTTGAAGAGAACAGAAGGAAGATACGAGGCAGCTTGGCTTAGAGGAATGGTGGAGCCAGGAGACCATAGTCCGGTTAGGCAGTAAATGCCATTGGTGGCATTTCTGCAGGTAGTAGCCAGTATGGAACACCCTCCCCTGCCAAACAGGGCATTGTGGAGACAGGGGTAACTTTAAAATGGAAAGCATAATGCTGGTGGTCAACAAAAGAGGTTCAAAGACTCTCTCAAGGCAAATCAACAACTGGGAAACACTGGCCTGCGAGGGCTCCAATTGGAGAACAGCCTTTGCCAAAGGTGTCACGGGTTTTGAAGATGCTCGATCTCAGGATGAAAGGGAGAAACACACTAAGAGGAAGGCACACTTGGCAAACTGCCACCATGTTCAACTCCCACCTGGAAACCTATGTTCCCACTGTAGAAGGACGTGTGGATCCAGAATTGGCCTCCACAGTCACTTACGGACTCACTGTTAACACCGTGTTTATGGAAGACAATCTTACTCGGCTATGAGTGATCGCCAAAGAAGAAGAAGAACAGGGATAGCAATAGGTCAGCTGGATCTTTATCTGTCCCACTGCAAGAAGTGGGACTCAATTTGCTGTACCAGCCTGGAGCGCCATTGATGGTTGCTGCTCCTATCTTCATCTTCTAATATATACAACTTCTAACATACGCATTTTGGCACGAACGTTTACCCAACATACACATTTTTGTATGCATTTATGCACGTTATTTTCACTAACATATGCACTTTTATAGACACCACCCCCAGCACCTGCATTTTTGGACACATTACTTGCCTGGGGAAGTGCGATGCTAGACAAAGAGAAAGCAAATTTTTGAGAGATGGCTGCGTTTTGGTTCTCGTATTGTTTTGGAGATTAGGTAGGCTTGCCTTTAAGTGTGAGCTGGACCAAGTTTCTCCCCATCCCTGTCCTAGACCCAAATACTGGTGGTCATTGCCCAGATCGCTCATGTGCCAGAGGAACTGTTGTCTTTCTTAAATAACCTCAGGAAGGTAATGTAGAGCTGAAAGAAGCTTTGTTCAGAAGCGTCTTTAAACAGTTAATTTGCGTCCTTCGAAAGCAGTTTTGTAACTGATGAGAGCAGTTCAGCCTTGGAAATAAATCCCAGGTTTAATTGCCTTTTTTGTGCTCCCAATTTCTGTCAATGCAACAATGTCTATATGCCTGCATGTATTTCTACGTCGCGATTACCCACACAAAAATGCAGCATGGAGTTTGAAGGAAAACACTTAAAGCAGCCTTGCTGACACTAATGTGTCTTTAAAAGGAGCAGGAGAAAAACGCCAGCAGCTTAAGGATTTCACACCTCACTTAGCGCCAAATTCAATTTGGTATTATTTATAAAGATTAACTCCAGAAAGAGGACATTGCTGGTGTAATGGGAGGCCAGGAAGAATTGGGGCACTTAGAAGCTGCAATAGAGCATGCCAAATTAAGCTGGTTTTTCTAAAAGCTGGCAGTTTCCATTTGATTTCCATTAATTTATTTGGTGTGTAATTATTTAAAGTATTAGACATGGAGCTAACAGGGGGTGTTAAAAAAAACCCCTCTGAATTGGTTGGGAAACATCCATTTAAGCTTAACAATGATGTTACCATAATTGGGAGAACAGGACCTTTAATTGCGAGAACAGTCAATGGGTTTCTGTTATTTGCTGCAGCGAGCACATTGATATTCAGGATGCAAGCCAATTTCCATAAAATATAGAAAGTTCTTTAAATTTAGATTTTAAATCCAATTCATCTCATGCATGCATATTACTTCATTGCATGGGGTTTGGACTGGATGATCATCAGGAACACCTCCAGCTCTATAACTCTATGATTCATGATTCTATGGGTAAGGACAATTTATTTGTAAGGATAGGTTAGGCCTAGGGTTTCAGGGTCAAAATCTGAGACCTAGGGGTGACCCCTGGTGATGTCACACTCATAGGGAAGTTCCTGGAGATGGAGGCTAATTGTGAGATGGGAGCTGAGGAGGCCAGATCTCCTTAGAGCGCCTATTTGCAGCTGGGGGGGGGAAGTTTCAAACTGTGTCGCACAAAGAGAGAGGAACTTGCCCACCTGGAGATACAAGCCCTGCGCTTGTCACTTGGAAGAAGCCAGGAAAACCTGGCAATTTCAGGTCGGACACAGGTCTGGCAACCTTTGTTTGGCCTCATTTTTTGTGGGCAGTTATTGTTATTCTTAACCATATTTTCAGGGGCTGGGCTGAGGAGGAATGGTAGGGACCGTTCCCCTCCCCCTCTCCTGAACCTTCCAGAGAACAGGAGGGCAGTATTGATTTAGAACAGTGGTTTGCAGAAGGGCATAGTTAAGAGGCTGCAGAGGGCAGAGGATGGGAAATATTGGAAGAGGAACAGCAGGAAGAAGAAGGAGCACCAGGGGAGAGACAACTGACAGACTCAGTGTCCTTGGAAAACATTCCTGATCCCCCTTCTCCCAGAACCAGGTGGGCATTGAGGGTATTAGAATAGAAAGCTCAGAAGCAGAAAGCTCAGATTAGCCGATGCAGGAGAGACGACTAATAGGGGAGACATAGGGGGGTGGGACTTTATTTGGAGCAACGCCATTATTAGGGAAGGCTGCATTCCTTCGTCACTCTCTGTGAATTATTGAATAAATTGCTTGGTAAGAACTTTTATTGTTTCCCTGATTCTTGGCTGCCACCGTGGGAGGGATCAGATTCCCCGAAGCCTAACACATACTTAGGAACATGGGAAACTGCCTAGTACCGAGTCAAGCCATTGGTCCATATAACTCAGTATTGTCTACACTGACAGACAGAGGCTCTTCAGGCACTCAGATGGGATTCCGTTCCCAGCCCTACCTGGAGATACTGGAGGTACAACCTGGACCTTCTGCATGCAGAAGAGATGTTCTATCACTGAGCTCCCATCCTTCATTCAAGCAATTCAAGGCAAGAATGCATGTGCCATTTTATAATGCCGTGAACCTGTGCAAAGAAAGTGACTTGCCCAAAGCCACCGGTAAACCTTACAGGACAAGTTGGATGCAGAACCTGACCCTCCTCTCCCAGTGCAGGTTCAACACACTCTCCACCAAAGGATATTGACAGTGAGTTGTAAGTTAGCTAAGGGTGGACATTTGAAACTGAAGGATAAGTAGATGAATTCCTCAAGACCGAAAAGCTCTTCTGGCACCACCTCCTGGATCAGGTGGCCATGTAGGAAGCTACTTAGATACCAAGTGAGACCACTAGTCCATGTAGCTCAGTGTTGTCTGCAATGATTGGAAGCAGCTCTTCAGAATTTCAAATGGGAGCCTTTCCCAACCCTACCTGTAAATGCCAGGGATTGAATTTGGTGCCTTCTGCATGCAAAACAGATGCTCTACCACTGAGCTATGGCCCTTCTCCAGTGTGTGGAGTGAGTGTTATTATGTTCTAATCTTACTCTTGTTAAAAGGAGTCCAAGGAAGCACCTATGGCTCTCTTACAACAACCTTGTGAGATAGACCAGGCTGAGAAAGACTGATGGAAATAACCTGTCTACCGGTATTTTCTGGAATCTTAATCCTTTCTGCCAACACATCATCCACCAAAGATGTTACTACTAGGCAGTCCCACCAAAGGGGAAAGTAAAATCCCTTTTGCTTACAACCCCTGCAGCACTCCTATGACTGAGCAGTTTTCATATGTGCAAGTTTCACTGGTGTTTAGGCACAATCTATGCTCTCTTAAGAGGATTTTCTGTAATGGCAGATTTAAAGAGCTTAGGCTCCCAGACACCATTCCATTCCTGCATGTCCGGTTCTTCCTGAAGATTATGTTCCCGCATTGACTTAAGCCTCATTAGCGTCCCTGTAGATTTTTCAATTAATATATTATATATTTTTGAAACCAGGCCTTTAAGTCTCTCTCCTGCTTCCAGCATTCGTAATTCAGACAAGTGCTGGCTGCTACAAGTTGAGACTGGTAGGGCGGATGGCAGAGAGACCAACAGCAGGTGGAGCCAGAGAGTCAATGACAAGTGGAACCAACTGATTCTTGTTTTGTTTCCCTCCTCCTCCTCCTCCTCCTCCTCCTCCTCATTGCTGAGTTCTGCAAGGGCAACACTGAGGCCACATTCACACCATCCATTTAAATAGACATGGCTTCCCCCAGAGAATTCTGGGAATTGTCATTTGTTAATGGTGCTGAGAGTATTTGTTTATTTATTACATTTATACCCCAGTTTTTCCTCCAAGTTCTGCCCCTCCCCATTTTATGCTCAAAACAACCCTGTGAGGCAGGTTAGGTTGAGAGGCAGTGACTGGCCCAAGGTCGTCCAGTGAGCTTCATGGTGAGTGCGGATTCACACGGCTGCAAAGCGTGTCTTTGGCACTTGCTGATAACATCTTCTTATTTTTGCTCACAGGTAGCTTTGTACTCATTCCTCTTTATGGCAGTAGGTTTGTTTTGAGGAAATACACAATAGAGATAGTTTTGGCAGAGCCCTTGATCTGCATAAATTAAGCTGCCCACAATGCTTAATTATCTCTGATAGCTAACCAGCTAATTTTGCCTGGCATTTGATATTTACAGCATGCAAGTGGCTTATAGCCTTAATGAGATGAATGAGCATAAAGTCTGTTTTTTTGTGGCTGTACTTTTTGCACACCTCTTACAGAGAGAGAGAGAGAGAGAGAGAGAGAGAGAGAGAGAGAGAGAACTAGAAAGGTTTTCAGCAATATGGATATTGGAAAGAAACAGTGGGTATACTGTAGGTCTATAAAAATCTATTGTGCAGCCCTGCCTTATCTTGAGTCCAAAAGCTTGCAGTGTTTTGTGGATTACAAGAAGACTCCTCAAACCAAGCCAAACCTTCCAGCATCTCATTTCCATAGCGGCCAAGTAGATGCCTCTGGGAAGCCCACAAGCTGACCATTTTGGCAACAACTCTCTTATTTTTTGCTCTTCAGCAACTGGGGCTCAGAGACCTGCTGCCTCTGAAATTTAGGGGTTCCCGTCACCATCATGGTGGAAATTGCCAATGCTTGCTTATTCATTCCATGTCTGCAATGAAACACAATCCAGCGAATACTAACAGTATCTGATGTTGCTGCTTTCAGTCCTCAAATGATACAAGCAGGATTACATTCCTGCCTCCCCTTCATTTGCATTGCATTTCCTATGCATCGAAATGAATGGGGTGGAATAATATCATGACAATGCAATTTGCATAACTCATTACATAAACTGTGTAAGTTACGTAAGTACACCACAGTGAGCAGGAAGATGAATAAAGTAGGTCTGGTGGAAGATGAACTGCTGCAGAATGGAAACAGTACCGTACCGCATGTGATGGATGTGGGAATGTTCAGGGATGCAAGAGAGGATACATTGTTTGATTAAGGCCTTTCCAACTTGTGTAAACAAGTTCACAATTTAGCAGAGTAACATTCCCCTTTTTAAACTCACAGAGGATGCGTTTGCTCAGACTCACTAAAGCCTCTATAATAACTGTTCTGGTATTTTCCCCTTATTCCCTCATAAAAGATAAGACACGACACAGTCTTCTATAAAAGTATAAAAAGAGTTTACTCACTCACATTCTGTTCACAATTGGATCCCAGAAGGCAGACTTAGCTTAGAAAAGTAACATATACCTGGAAACTATCTCATAAGGAGACAGCCCTGTTACGATATTGAAGCAATGCAGCCGCGAGCTGCTGGTAGCTTGAAAACAAAACATAATGGGAATGTTGGGACTGTTCCGTGGGAAACAGAGGGACAGTCAATTCACAGTGCAGAGGGCACCGGAATTAGCTCAGAGTGTAATATGAGCTGGACAGGAAGTGTTGGTTCTCTCTCGACTGCTGAAGCTTGAAGAGAGCAGTCATGTTTTTTGTAACGCTGCAAAGACAGAAATACAGTGGTGCCTCGCAAGACGAAATTAACTCGTTCCGCAAGTCTCTTCGTCTTGCGAGTTTTTCGTCTTGCGATGCACGGTTTCCCATAGGAATGCATTGAAAATCAATTAATGCGTTCCTAGGGAAACCGCCTTCAGACCAGGTCCGGGGACAGTCTGTCCCCGGACCTCTTCTGAAGGCTGGGAGGGGGCAAGGGCTTTCTTCCCACCCCCAGCATTTTAAAACACCCCCCGACCGCGGAGGACTTCTCCGCTGTCCGGGCGATCTTAAAATGCTGGCGGGCGGCATTTTAAAATCACCCCGGGACAGCGGAGGACTTCTCCGCTGTCCGGGGCAATTTAAAAGCCCCTGGGAAGGCAGGCAGGGGGGACAAAGACTTTGCCCTCGCCAGCCTTCAGAAGAGGTCCTGGACCTCTTCTGAAGGCGGGCGGGGGCGAAAGTCTTTGCTCCCCGCCTTCAAAAGCCCTCCGGGACAGGCAGGCAGGGGAGCAAAGACTTCGCCCCCGCCCGCCTTCAGACGGTCTCCCCCCCCCCCCCCCCGGCTTCGGACCCCCGTCCCGACCCCGGGCTGAGGCGGGAGGTGTTCCCTCCCCCCCCCGCCCGGCTTCGGAGCACCGTTCCGAAGCCGGGCGGCGGCGGCAGGTGTTCCCTCCCCCCCGCCCGGCTTCGGAGCACCGTTCCGGAGCCGGGCGGCGGGGAGGTCTTCCTCCCCACCGCCCGGCTCGGAGCACCGTTCCGAGCCGGGCGGCGGCGGCAGGTGTTCCCTCCCCCCGCCCGGCTTCGGAGGAGCCTTCCGGCCCGGCGGCGGGGGGAGGAGGTGTCCCCGCCCCGCCGCCAGGCTTCGGAGGAGGTCCGAGGACAGTGGGGAAGACGCGCTGCGCTTCCCCGCTGTCCCTGAGATTTCCCTATGGGCTGTCGTCTTGCGAAGCAAGCCCATAGGAAATTCGTTTATGAGCGCCTCCAAAACGGAAAACCCTTTCGTCTAGCGGGTTTTCCGTCTTGCGAGGCGTTCGTCTTGCGGGGTACCACTGTAAAGGCATGTAAATATGTTTCTGTCTATCTCTTTCCCCTGCCCGGGGGGGGCAGGAAAGACGGGGTGTGTTCTTCTCATGCTGAGAAGGATCGCCTATCGCGACCTAGCCTGTATCCTGCTGGGGAATGCAGACAGGGAGGTCAACAGGAGATCAAGCCGGGTGCCTGGAGAGTGGCCAGTTTCTCCTGATAAAGGCTTGATTTCCAACACCTTTGTCCTCTCTTGGCTGGAGGCCAAGAGAGCATCTTTGGCTAAGCAGATGTTGCTTCTTCAACAAAAGTAGTCATAGAGAGAGAGATGGCGGCCAGTCCTATGATTTTGTTACCTGCACAGGTGAGGCCACACTCACCTCTAGTCACATGCAGAGGAAGTCTGTCCCAGCCCAGAAGGAAACAGGAAGTTTACCTGCTGGTAGGACAAACATTCCTCCCCATGTGTAAACATGTTCACTCTAGGAATGTTGTACTTGACTGCTCTTGTGTTTCACATCCCACAATGGATGCATATTTATTACATTTATTTACCACCTTTATCTTCCAGGGATCTCAAGGTGGTGTACATGGCTCTCCTCTTCCCCTTTTTATCCTCACAACAGCCCTGTGAGATGGGTTAGGCTAAGAGATGGTGACTGACCCAAAGTCATCCAGCGAGGTTCATGTCTGAGTGGGGATTTGAATACAGGGCAGAATGGAAAATGGAAACTTTATACAGACTTCCTCCTCAGAACATTAGTCCATCCAGCTCAGCACCATTCACATTGACTGGCACTAGCTCCTCAGGGATTCAGGCAGAAGAAATCCCCAGTCAGGCTGGAGATGCTGGGAACCAATCCCCAGAACTTTCACAAGCAAAACAGATGTTCTACCACTCAGCTACATCTCTTCCCCAAATGCAAACAGGGCTTTCAAATGGGAATTCAACCTGTTTTGGATGGAGTAGAACCTGGTTCAAGGTTTGGGACTTAACTTTGCTCTTGGATGCTCAGGCAGCGACTGTAGATAGGAATACCTTTGTCTAGGCTAGTGAGCTAAGTCACTAAGGCTAAATTACAATGTTGGGCATTTTGCTAGTTTGAAAGTTCTCTTGAACCTCTCAGAATCTCCCAACTTCTAATCCCAACATATTCATTTAGCTCAGTTGGTTTGAGTGTAGTGCTGATAATGCCAAGGTTGCAAGATTGATCCCTGTATGGGAAAGCTGCATATTCCTGCATTGCAGCAGGTCGGACTAGATGATCCTACATGATCCTACATGATTCTATGATTTGATGAAACCAATTTTGGGCCACTTTAAAGTCGCCTGGAACCATACTGAGAAAGCAAGACTCCTCACATTCTTGTGTGGAACCACTTCAAGGAATGTTGAAAAGGACTCATCCAAATAAGTGGCAGTTTGAACAGCAGACGGAATAAAAAAGCACCAAGATTGCAACCTGCCAGTCACAGGCTCTTATTTGCCAGACCT